GGTGTTCATGATTCAGCTCCCACACTTTCTTACTGTGTAACCCTGGGCAAGTCACTTAGCCATTATGTGCCTTAGTCTTATCATTTGTATGTGAAAATCCTAATGACAGATATCCTCATGGAAATCCCCCAAAATATGAAATAAGATAAAAGATGTGCTGTTCCTTTATAAACTGAAAAGCATATGTAAGTGTGCAATGTTATACAAATTTGCAAGCTATAGTTTTACATATGTTTCTATAATAGTTCATTAAGGAATCCTTGAGATATGAATAGGAATTAGAAAATCTTTTACTCTCTATAGATGAAAATAAGCAACAGTGCAATGATGACGTTTTTCAGAGCAAGGTCAGAAACACAGAACTACTACTTTGCAGATCCTTGATTTTGCTATCAGAAAGTGCTATATTCAACATTACTCTAGAAGCATACATAGTAAAGATTGGATTTGATATAATAGGTAATGGGATACTAGATAAGGTAAAAACAAGCTACATTGTTAAGTTATGTGCATAATTACAGAAATCAATTGCTTTTCCATGTCCTTAAATTGTTATTCGAAAAGTTACTTTTTAAAAATTTTCCAGTTTCTAAAATGATTTCTCACTCAAAAATTTTACAGATTTGATAAATGAGCCTTTTGCCCTCTTACAAGATGTTATCTTGGTATGAATTCTAATTTGAGTTTGGGCCCCACCCCGGGATAAGACACTTAAAGATGAGGTTCCCAGTTGTCCCTCAGAGTTGGAACTCTGTGGGGATCAAAATGCATTTGTCTTGCTTTCTTCAATAGAGAAAAGATGAAAAAGAGAGGAAGGGATTATTATAATTCATTACTCTTATTATTCACAGTTTGGAAAACAACTTAAAAATGAGGCTTTAGGCTTTACAACAAGAGCTTTCCTAAGTGGCTAGATTCTCAATTGTTCCACATTTCTTTTTTCATGCTTCTGTGATGTGGATTCTAAAAAGAACACTTTAGTGGTAAGAAGAAAAATCTTAAAGTATCAAAAATTAGGGTATAGTTGAGAAAATAATTTTATCTAGTTTTTTATGGGCTAGTTTTAAATTGTAAGGATAGAGGAAAAGATCTAGAAGAGTAAGCTGTAAAATATTATTGCCTTCTAACACTCCCCACTCCCTGCCCCCTGGTCTCAGTGTATAATGAGATCAAAGATAAGTCAACTAGGAGCTTGCATCTTTCAATATTATTGTCGCCCCAAAATGGAAGTGAACATCAAAAGGGTGAATGAGGGAGAGTAAGGTAAGACCCTTGGATGAAGTAAGCTCACTCTGATGAAGGAAGGAAGGGGGAGGAAGATGTGAGATTGCAAGTCATTTATCATGTGATCTTATTTACAGAGATGAATAAATAGGAACAACCTTGGAGAAAATATTTATTTCTAAAAATGAAGAGAGGACTATAGCAAAAAAGGAAAGTAGAGGAAAGATTTTTGGATTCAACCAGTAATGGCCTAGACACCACAACATATAGCTGATGTCCATGAGAAATGCTTCATGTTAACAGTCTCCTGAGAAATATTCTTTACAAGGAAAAAATGCAATACACTGATAGATTGTATGAGAATGATAAAAGAGCGGGCTGGTATATAGCTTCCTAGTCTTCCTTAAAATACCACCTAGAAATATAATGCCAGCTCCTATCAGTGGTCTCCATCATCAAAGGATAGCAGTTTTAAAGACCATATTTGGAATTTAAGAACATTTTATTGGGATGATTTTTATTACACAATTATCTATAATTGAAACAGTTATCTATAAGCCATCAAGAAAAAAAATTATCATCATCTTACTAAATTAGAGTTTGGAGAGAAATCTAGTTTTATATCAACTTATCATTGGATCATTCTCTGTAGGTCTGAGGAGAAATGATATTTTACATTTTCCACTTTCCCACATGCACATTTTATGGATTCAATACTTGGCCAGTTATTTCTATAGGGAAGTTAGTTTAAAGGCACACCATAATTTGGATTGAATACAACACTCTGGTAACCACACAGCCGACTGTTTGCAACCTTTGTCACTATGAACATACATACAAAACCTTTGTAATCAATCTCCCAAAGCTAATTTAAGATTTATTGACTATATGTTGAGCTGAATTCAAAATTAACTCTGGATGCTCCTGAACCCATCACTTAAAAGAATTATCTGTTAGTCCCTTTTAAATTTATAATATTTTCTCAAAGAAATTGGCAAGGACACACTGACCTGGTCAATAGATTTTTCTGATCCTCTTAAATAATTAAGACCACTGAAGAAATGAAATGGAGAATGATGTTGGTTCTCTGCTGCTTGACCAAGCACACTAGTGATTTTTTCTTGAGTGGATGACAAATCTCCATAATGGTCAACTAGTAAGCGTCAACTAGTAAGGGTCGAAGGGACAACATAAGATTTTTCAATAGTTTTCACCATTAATTTGAAATGAACTGTTTTTTTTCCCATTCATTTATTCATTCACTCATTCACTCAACATACATTTATTGAGAACTGGAGTCAACTAGTAAGGGTCGAAGGGACAACATAAGATTTTTCAATAGTTTTCACCATTAATTTGAAATGAACTGGTTTTTTTTTCCCATTCATTTATTCATTCACTCATTCACTCAACATACATTTATTGAGAACTGGAGGTGTAATGCCAGGTGCTGCAGATACGATGATGAAAAAAATTTGGTCTATCACATTAACTCTTTTCTTTCTCACAACCATCATGCTATAACATATCTTCATCCTCTCATGTCTCAGTCCTTCAAAATTTTTAGTTAGTGCTCCTGACATCTATGTCCCCCCTTCTTCAAGTTGTGTTACATTTGCCTGTAGAAAAATATTCCTTGATCAAGATTGCCATGTTATCCATATTGATACTACCACTGCCACCAATAGTAATAATAATGGTAATTAACAGCTACTATTTCTTGAGCCATTCAATTTATACACTTTACTGTCTTACTATAATCCTCACTGTAACCATAAAAGGTGAAAATAATATTTTTAGTTCATTGTTAACCACAACTTCTTACTAATAGGATGCATGTGCCTGTTGGGCACTGCACAGTTTCTTAAGTTCTTGAATTAGTTTGGACACTGCCACCCTCTTTTCCTGCTCTACATGGATTTCTGCAGAGTACTTGCTTTTTATCAGAGCAACTACTGAAAACCCAACTTCGCAAAGATATGTCATCTTCAAAAGTAATTAGTAGGATCTAATGTTGAAATTATGAGCTATCTTGAGCTAATAGTTCATGCAGTATCTGACAGATGTCGCGTATCTCTGTGTTTCCCATGGATATTTAAAATACATTGCCGTATCCCTGTGAATTTACTGTGGCACCTCAGGATGCTTCTGTCCACAATCTGAAAACTTTGGCCCTACAGAGGAATAATGTCTCTTCAATTTTGCCTTTCTACAATGTTCATTTGGCACTTAACACATCATGCTTTGTATCCAAATTAACTGAACACACAAATCTCATGTCTGCTCTGAGATCATCTGATCCATGAAGTTTAGGGAGCATTCCTTGCACACACCCTGGCACAGGAGCTAACACAACTCCTTGTATGTAGAAAATGATCAACAATAGGGTAGTGGGTTTTTACAAATTATACTAAGTACTTATTTAATTTCTCCTCAGTCACTTGATATGCCTTTCATATTTCCTTATTAAAATTAATTTTTTTTTAACAGAGCATATAGTCGAAGAGCGTTGCTGACTGATGGATTGAAAAAAAAATCTTTGAATAAGTAAGGGATGATTTTGAAGGAGACAGAGCCTTTCTTACTACTTGTAGTTTACTTACTCCTTTTGGGGTAGCATGTCTACAAGTTACTAATTTTACATACACTAAATTCTGAATTACAGAAAAAGGAAAATAATGGTGAAGAATGATATAGTGTAGGCTAGTGTTTCTCTATGCCGTTAATGCAGTATAATGACTATGTCATTAATAATAATATTATCAATGATAGAGTAAAGGGAACTATTGGTGGAAATCATGCTTTGAAAAGAAGAGCTTAGGAATAAATTATATTATGTTCTTCAAGCATCTGTATATTATTTTTTAAAAAGCTGTCTGAGGAAGTATGAAATGATTCCTGTATACATGTATGTGTTGTTTCCTTTTCTTTTTTTCTTTCTTTCTCTTTTTTTCCTCTCTCTCTTTTTTTGGCGGGGAAGGCTGGGGAGATGGATTTTAACTTTACATAAGGAATATCTGCAGTATGAGAAAATTGGGTAGAAAAAAGTGGGAAGAAGGATGGCAGAGGGGTAATGCTGGATTATAGAAAATCACTCCAAGTGCTCTTAAAAACATTCTTTCAGTGAAACCTAGAAAAGACAATGGCCAACATATTAGCCCTTTCAGTTTCAAAGGTGTTCAATGCAAGCTAGAGGTAGATATGCTTTTTTAGATACTGTCAACTAAAATTTAGATAGTGTTGAGTTAATCTTTCAACAAACTTTCCTGAACCCTATCTACAGATTGAGAGGGAATGAAATTTTCTATTAATGTAAATTATACAGAGAAAAGGATAAAAATATAGTATTAGGCCTACATC